GAGGGATGTTAATAATTTGATAAAAAGCTGTCTCTACCACGGACTTAAATGAATTTAAAAAAATCATTTCTGCTGTTTCACGTTTAGTAATTCAACAGCTATAATGTAAAAGCTAAAACTCTAAAATAAACTCGAGTTTTGAGCTTTTTTGGTCAATTTCAGACATGCAAATGTCCATAAATACAAACCAAAAAAATTCTTAAATAATTACATCTTTGTGTTTATCGTCGTAAAGACCCTAAATTAGTGTATTTTTTCGTCTTCCCCATATTTTTTAGTTTTGCCCTTACAGTTTTTTACAACGTGGCTGTCAAATTGTCTATATTAAAACCAAGAAGTTTAATTTTAAATTATACTAGCTTTAAAATTCTTATAGAAATACTTTTATTTTATTTAAACTTAATTAATATATTATATGGGCCATAAATATTAATCAAGTTCAATTTCTATTCGTAAACAACACGCAAAAATAGTAATAATAATATAATATTTACCATTAAATTAATTAAATGAAAATCACACAATTAAAATGGTATTATCAGTGTAGGCATGACTGTGAAAATTAACGTAAAATATATTATAGATAACATTCAAGTGAGTGATAAGAAATTTAATTTTTAAATATAAGGTGCATCGTATCAAAAGTGATTCACTTTTTTTTCTTTCTTCGCCGATTAAAATAATGAAAATCATACTAAACTACTTATTTGAAAAAAAATTAAAATTGAAAAAATATTTCCTAATCAATTCGACTATTTTTTTTTCAATAATAAGATTCAACGGCTATTCCAAAAAAGTTAGCATACAGAGGTCACACAAGAATGAAAATACCTCTGATTAAATAAAAAACTGACGAGATTATTATATAAATACTTTTTTAGGCTCAAATGGAAGTTAGCACCAGGTTAAATCTTGTATAAAAGAAGTGAAACTTTTCAGATTTAAGGATACCTAAGCATTTTTCAAATAATAAAAGAAATACGCATAGAAACCATTAAACATTATCTTATATCCTTTTACTTTATTATATTACTACCAAATTACTACATCAATAAGACAGAAATCAGACAGAAGCAGAGGTTTAAGGCTAGGGCATCCCCAAATGTCTTGTGAAAGTAAGTTCCTTCTGACTGTGAAAGCTATTTTAAGAGATAAAGTAAAGTGGGTTCCCGATCCCATAAACAATTAAATGTATGTGCAAGTGTATGTGTGTGTGTACGTAGAAGCACTTTATTGGCTATATATGGTATATGTGTATATATTTATACATATAAATTATGCATACATAAATGTGTTGAGTACTAACATCTTAAGTTGTAATGAACATGGACAACCCTTAGTGAATAAATTAGAAGACGAATCAATTTTTTGAAGAACAATTAGGACAAAAATGTAACCTATTCTGAATACCGGCTGTTTAAAATTATATTTCTCTAATATAAAGCTGATTCAATTTATTTATTTATTTGTAAAATTCAAAAATGTTTTCCTCTCTTTTATTGCCTGACTTCATCCAGTTATATTTTAACGCTTAGGATGTCTTTACCTCGACGACTTCCTCGTTCTTTTAATATTAAAAAATGTTTTTAAACTTTTCTTTGTAATTTCAACTAATTTCTAACAAAAAAAAAAACAAAATCCGTAAAAAAATAAAAAATAATAATACAATTATATACGTGAAGACAACGTCTTTTTATTGAATTTAAACGTAGGTATTTATAATAACTATTTAAATATAAGTTAGATAAGTTAGATACCATAAGGCATTTTTATTATAAATATTTATTTTACTATCTAGGACAATGAGCAACTGTCCGTAATTAGGTAATTTAATTAAATAATTGTTACACGAGTTAATCACAATTAATTAATACAAAATAGTTTGTGTTTATCGTATACTGCTTGAAAAAAGAAGAAGTATTATTTGTTTGTGAAGTATTATTATTTGTAAGAAATATAGCATTTGGTAATATTAAACCGAATTCCATGTGAAACTTTTCATTCCATTTACAATTTTGATCGATTTTTTTTCTTCGGAAAGGCATCAAGCCACGAAACTAACTATATCTGAATAGTAATTGTGGGCGCTATGAAGGAATTTATTTGTTAGAAACACGAATCAGTTGACTAAACTAATTTATTATTGTTCAGTTTAATAATAGCAATGAAATAATAAACTTACCATCTACGAAATTCCTTCATAAAAAATTAAAAATGTTGATCATCTCATATTACCACATCTAAATCACATGCCCGCCCAAAAACTATTATTGGACAGATTAATTCTGAAAGACTTTAAACCCTCCAAGTCTGATAACGACACGACGATAATTTATGATGAAACACGTTTACAAACTCAAATAAGAAGGAAAGAAGTGTTGAGAAAAATCATTTTTTATTTAAGAACCATAATAAATTAGCATGTTTTTAATTCCAATAATGATCAGTCAAAATTAAACCTATAAAAAATGAATACATAATTATTTTAGTCATAGCTATTATAAAATATCAATATTTTCGAAAAAATAATTTGGGCGTTGGCTTCATGACTTACTTATTTTTTTTCTCGTTTCATTATAATAAAAACTTATAGCAAGTGAAAGATTCAAAATTTAAAAATGATATGTTTTGAATTTTTGCATTAATGGGTTCACTAATATTGTTCTGCAGAAACATCTTCAGGGAAAATAAATATAATATTATAATTTACGACATAATTGATTAAACAATGAAAAAATTGTGCTCCTTACTTTTTTTTTTTTTTTTTTTTTTAATAAATAAACAAATCGGTCAAACGAATTAACGAATAAACGAATCAGTAGAATTTTCACAATCAAGTATTGTGTAGATTTCTTTAGAGCTCATAAAACTTTTAATAAACATATTTACTTATTATATGTTGCATAATTGAGCAGTACTCTATCAAACGTAAAAATATCCACTTTTGGAAATTTATTTAAAATCTGGTGCAAATAAATCAAATTTTCATAAGCAATAATAATTTGACTGAACAATTTTTAGATATAGAATAATTGTCAAAGAAATATTCATTTATGAGAAGTGAATTATATTATCTTTAGAAAGAATACTCTTCAATAATAAGAATCATTAATTAGGCAATTTAAAAATGAAAAGATAAACATCATGACATTATAATAAACTTTCATAATTAGTGTTTAAACTTAAACTAAACACTAAAGAAACTTGAATAGTTCCTAACATGAATATTATTTCTCAATCATATCTTACTTGAGTTACATTGAATTAAATGAAAATACCATTATTTAATTGTGATTTAATACATTACATAAAATTGACGTTAGGTCAAAAAACTAAAATTGATCGAATTTGTACAGCCATATTTGGTTTTGAGAAAAAAATTTGGGAGTAACAAAAATTTTAAGATGAAAAATAAAGTATGACTCGTAAGTGAGTAAGAACAACTCAAAACCGAAGTCCTCAATATAGAAAAAAATAATCTAGATAATAATGTACTTTAGAAGAATTTATGAGAAAAAATGTATACATAAAAAAACTAAAAAAGAAAACTATATATACATGGCTGACCCCGAACTACATTTACTACCTTGACTCTGCTTAAGATAAAAACATTTATTGTCAAGCAGATGTCGTGCGGTTTAAGTCTATACGCTCCGCCGCATCTGTCTATCCGTTTAAAAACAATAAATACAGAAAAAAATTAGGCGACAGCAGGAACTCAAAAATATATGAAATTTTATCCGATAATGTACCCTAAAAGTCTTATAAAACACGAATGACGAAAACAAAAGGAAAATAATTAACAAATAAAGATAAAGTAAACAAGGTTACTAATTATACTTAAAACTATTTACCTAAAACCATAAACAGAAAAAAAATTAATTGACAAAGGTAGTACAATAGATAAGTATTGAATAGTATTATGATATGTTATGAAAACAGATAAAACCACTAATATGTTTAGACTCCTTATCAAGAAAATCCAAAATATCAGATCTAATGAATGGATGCACATAAAAACAACTTCTATAAAAACTAATTAATATGCAACAATGGTTTTGGCTATCTCAAGCAGGTGTTTCGTGATACAAAGTTAAATTATTGCATTCCTTTTGATTAATAAGAGAAAAAAAAATGAATATTTTTATCTTAAATAAACACACATACAAATATATATATATACTCTTCATCCCTTCCTCCTCCCCCCCCATAAGAAATTTTATAGTAAAACTTTCAAATTAAAGTTCATTAAAAATAAACGAAATATATATCAACAAGAAACTGACCTACCATAATTCGATTACCATAAAATTTATAATTTCATCTGATATCTTAAACATTTCTATAATTATTATTACAATATTTAGTTAAATAGAGTTTAATATAAAAGAAATAACAAACACAAAATATTAATACTATTCCTACGTTTTTAGAAAAAATAAACCTGAGAATGTGCTACTTAAACGTTCAATTGTTGATGATAGAACCGGTATAAAAAAAAAAAAGTATTTAAAAATAATTGGTTTTATGAAATTATTGCCTTTTATAAATATATCAACCAAATTACTATATTTTTTCTTACAATAGTATGATTTATATGTTCAAGCTGATATCAATGATTAAAATACTTCATAAGGCAAATTTATTATTTTTTTTTTTTAATCTAAATATCTATAGATATGATATTATGAATGTATATTATGGTCAGAGTGAAAATATCAAAATAAAGTATATTTTGGTGAAATTAAGAAAAAAGTCTCTTATTAAGAAAAAAAAAATCCTCAAATATTAAATAGCATCTAGGCGGGTGTTGTCAACTGTATAAGATCAAAATTAGGAAATATCACTCTTTTTTGAGATGCCAAGAAATAAATATTATCATTAATTAATAGTATAAAATAAATAAAATGTGCTCTTCTAGACCGGTGTCTACGTGACTTAGGCCTAACAGCTGATGGCACCCACCCGCCTCGATTCAAAAATTTTCATTTTATTCTTACCCCAATTGCAGCTGGCAGAAGAAATAAAGAGTCCAAGAAGAAGAAGAAGAAGGGAGTTCGCCATCCTTAGAAGGCCGCTACTCGACGTGTATGGTTAGAATAAAATTAAAAATAAATAAATTAACTATTACCGAATGCGAAGAGTGCAATTGACTCTTTACCGAACTCTACGGGTCATCGGGAACGACTGAACATTTTCAGGGTATCTATCTTAGCGATGACTTAAAAATCGATGGATCGAGGTAAAACGATAATTTAAAGTCGAACTACCAGCATCATATCAAAATTCAAAAGATAAGATAACATTAAAATTTATTGCATAGAATAAACCAGAAAGAAAATTAGTGAGATTCAGATTTCAAGAAATATGTTTAAACTTAATTAAAATAATGTTTAAATTAAGATGGAAAGGAATGATTGCGTATTCACATTTGCAATTCAGCATCGTATATTAACAGTAAACATATAAATTTAATAAAAACATCATTGAAATAAACTGACTTTAAATTATATAAAAAATAACTCAATATAGTATAAATTGTATAGGAAATAGTTGCTCAAAAATCGATGCCCCAGACATCACTCTGAACACGTTGTCCAAACATAATGAACACGTTTCGCAATCAGATAGTGTAGTTCAATCAGTATGTTATAGTTTTACTCAGAACTTGTGTTTCCCTAACGAATTCGTGGGCTGTTGTGTGATATTTGTGTTGTGTAAATGATTAAATATGTTATTAATTATGATTAACATGTCTAACCTGATTTGGTTAGGTTAAATACAGTTACACGATTGTCATTTCTTATTAGTAGTACTTAGTTCTTAATTGTGATTGAATTGTTATTTTGCTTTGATTAAATAATCATGTTAATGTTTAAAATGTGTATTATCACCTATCCATGGATATTTTTTCTACTTGTTCCCTTAAAGTTTATTGATATGTGCATTACAACTCAATTGGTCTGAGTTTTGATTATGGTAAGCTAAAAAGATATCCTACTCTCATGCCCAAGAATAAATATAAATATGATCCTCCTATTCTAAACTTAGATTTTGACTTTGGTCACATCAATTTTTCAATGAACTATAGTTGAAGGATAAAATTTGAAACGGCATTCAGTTTTGTATACTGGAGAACTGAATTCTACACTAGGTCAAAAAATATTTATCTGAATTTAATAACTTTTAACTGATGAGGTCATAAGAACCCTTTTTAATTTTCAACCAGTTGTGAATGTACGTGAACAGGACGAAAAAATTACAAATGGCTATGTCAGTCAGAAAGGCGCTTAAGTTCATTTTTCTTAATCATTCTTATCTATAGGATATAAGTTGGTTAAACATAATACAAATTTTAATGTATAATTTTAGACAAGCCACAAATAAGTATGTCAATGGCGTAATATATCACTGTGTGAATAAATTTGTACAGTTGGCGATATGTTAATATGTAAATAAGATATAAGCATTTATTAATGTTACTCTATCATGTGGTTACTCAATTGCCATTTTTATATCTACATTATATACATATTAAACTGAAGACAAAAATTTATGAGATAAATTTGGATTTTAAAATTAAGAGAATAAAACATCAAAGTTTGCTCATGGCCACTAGTAATAGACTATCAAAATATTTTGGTCTTAAGGTACAACACATATTTGCTAGATAACTTAGAAATATTCGGAAAATCAAAGAATAAATTAAATAAGTAGATGTCAGGAGCAGCACAAAATCATTTTCACGTTATGATAGCAAGGGCACAAATATTTTCCAAGAAAAATTAGGAATAATGTTTCAATCATGGAATACAAATAAATAAAATATTATAGGATGAGACATTTTTTTTGTTCTTTTGGAACGTTTAATATAAATTTTTGTCTTCACTTTAATACATGTCTATAATGTGTGCATATATATATAATACAAATAAGTATGTCGATGACACCATAATATATCACTGCTTTGTGTGAATAAATTTAAACAGTTGGCTATATGTTAATATATAACTATTCAGAACTGAATTCAGAGTTTAATTACCTTCCAATAATTGATTATTTGAGGGATAAGTTATAATTTATCATATGTCTATGTCATATCTATCATATGTCTACTCAATCACTAACTGTATTGTTAAATAATGAATAAATTTAAACAGTTGGCGATATGATAATATGTAACTCTATCATATATCTACACAATCACTAACTGTATTGTTAGTGATTGAGTAGACGTATGATATAGTTACATATTAACATATCGCCAACTGTTCAAATTTATTCACACAAAACAGTGATATATTATGGTGTCATTGACATATTTATTTGTATTAAAATTTCTAACTTTTAAAGAGAGCAGTTTCAGAGTTCAATTACCTTCCAATAATTGATTATTTGAGGGATAAGTTATAATTTATCATATGTCGATGTCATATCTATCATATCTCTAATCAATCACTAACTGTATTGTTAAATAATGAATAAATTTAAACAGTTGGCGATATGATAATATGTAACTCAATCATATGTCTACACAATCACTAACTGTATTGTTAGTGATTGAGTAGACATATGATAGAGTTACATATTAACATATCGCCAACTGTTCAAATTTATTCACACAAAACAGTGATATATTATGGTGTCATTAACATACTTATTTGTGGCTTGACAATAATTACACATTAAAATTGTTTATTATGTTAGAACAATTATATTCTATAAATAAGAATGATTAAGTGAAATGAAGTTACTTGCCTTTCTGTCTGACATAGTTATTTTTAATGTTTTCAGTAATATTCAAAATGAAATATGTCTAATATAGAACTTAAATTTGTTTCAAGTTATATTTTTAATATCCATTTTGCCATTATTGTATATTCAATATATTGCTTATTTGTTTTGTGATTACTTATTGAATTGAAGTAAACAAGAAAATTTTTACTTTGCGAATAGCTAGTAGCCACTTAAAATGCTGCGTTTATCACAAAGTATTTCATAGAAATAAATATGATAAGATTTGCTTATTAATTTTATATTGCGCCTTGACCTTTTAAAGAATTTTTTTTAATTTTGTAATACTTCAGTTAAGTGGAAATGTTCTGATAAACAAGTGTATTATATGTTTGATTTTAATTTCCTTTTTACACTAGTCGCAATTTAGAACTAGGGCAAACAATATTTATTTTTATTTTGACTGATACGGAAACTGGGCTCAAGCTAATTTTGATATACATAACATAAGAAGATGTTTGTAAAATCATACCAAATATATTTTTTATAAATGCTAATTGGAAGGAACTTTTAATTAAGTGATTTTATTAATTGTTTACATTCTATTAATCTAACTTCCGTAATTCATGTCTTAATTCCTTTTTCTGTGCACTCATTGTGATAGGTGTTACCGAGTTTAAGCCCCTCTTGTCAATTCTCACCATTTCAGATGGTACCCAAGCTATTACACATTAAATATTTATTCATCTTAATGATTCATTATTTTGTATTAATTAAGTTTTTTTAAAGTCGATATTGAATAAATAATGGAGTTAGATTTTAGGAAATTTTTTCTTGATATTTTTGCAGAATTTTTCAAATAAATTTGTTTATTCCTATCAAAATTATGAAAATGTAATGCTAAATTTATGTTGGTCTTTGGGAAGGGGATGTTATTTATGCATTTAATGAATTTCCCTATCATGATGTTGGATCAGAAATACATAAATGTGTAGTTGCTTAGAACCAAATGGAGAGGATAGACTGACAGGAGCAGCTCAGCCTAGGTAAAGTTTGGCAGAGGATCGTAGAGAAATACCCTCACAACACCCAGTTTGGTTTAATTCTATTCTCCAGACTCAAGAAAAAGAATGCAGTTAGATATTAAATATGCACCGTTCCAAATATACCTATGTTCCACTGACATCAGTAATTCAAATACATTCTCGAATTTATTGGATAATTATTTGATATTTAATGAAGAGTAGTTACGATTATAAACTTTTGGAACATTATTAATAAAATAAATCTATCCAAAGTGAATATGTGTTTTACTGAATAAATAGTTAATTAAAATGAATTTAGCTCATTACAGGATTGTTTTAATTACATTATATCACTCATAAATACATTATTGAAATAAATGTGTGGGGAGATGTTGCAATGCTAAATTATAACTTATCCCTCAAATAATCAATTATTGGAAGGTATTTGAACTCTGTAACTGCTCTCTTTCAAAGTTAGAAAGTTAAGCTAAACTAGAGCTGTCAATATTTTTCATATAAATTATTTTAATTTGCCTACTACTTCTCCTTATCATATAATTTTTTTTTTTTTACTTTCTAATGGGTTGATAATCTGCTTGGAAAAAAATTTCCTTTCTATTATTTTCTTTGATATTGATAACTTTATTTATCTCCAATTTTTTTTTATGTTAAAGTATTCAGGGATTAAGATCATAATTAATGTATGTCCAGTCTAAGGAGGAGTGGTCTATGTAAACAATAGTTTTCCAATCATATATAAATTATTTGAAGTGAGGGTAATTTCCTGAGGGAACTCTTTTTCCACTAAAATGAAAAGCGCAATTTCCGTTATCAGTTTAGCTCTTAAGTATCTTAAGGGCAGTGCAGGCTATGACAATGTGTTCGGCAGTTTCCAGTACTCTGCAACTAGGGCATAGAGGATGAATGTTCTTCCCAAGAGTGAAGAGCGTTGCTCAAAAACCCCCATGCCCTGTGGGAAACTGTGATACCCAGTAGTCTGGTGTGATCCATGTGGCTTCTAACCTCGAACCGACAGTAGGAAAATACTTCTCAGGGTTCCACTTTTAGTAGTTTTAACCCATCACCGGTTTCATTCTTCAAATGTGTTCTCGGGAAGGATTTTCTGGGTTCTTCACTGATTCTCTAGTAGATTCGCCGAACTTTCTCTCTTCTCATGATGCCTAAACTTGTGTTGTTGCAGGAAAAGGTCGAGAGGTACCCCTCCCGCAAAAATCACTCCTGTATATATAGTCATTGCCGTTGGCTATCTGAGGCCCAAAAGGCGTCCCCAATACGAGTGAGCTCATTAAGGGCTAGGGACCATCCTACTTCTTAAATAGTGCAAGTGAGGTGTCACATTAAATTTATTTCCAATAACAACTCCAAGGTAGGTGACAATTCAGACGTATTCTTACACCTTGTATTGTCATAGTTAAGTTA